AAATGATGGAAACCAGTATGGATCTGCACCTATGGCTGACAAAGTGTTCATTCAACCAATCAGAATCAATAGTTTTGCTGTCATTGATTATATTGAAAAATATTGAAGTTGTTGATTTTGTTTTTAAGGTTGGTGAGTTGGTGATTGGTCAGAATGGTATTTTTTCGACCCCAGCTGTCTCTTGTATTATCAGAAAAATTAAGGCCACAGGTTAGAACATTTTTTAATTTTTTTTTCCAAAATTAATTATAACTTTTATGTTGTAAAACTGCTGAACATGTATAGTATTGTTAGTAACAATGATTATTTTTAAGTAATTAAGTTCTTTGTTCAGGTCTACACTAAACTGTACAATGTAAGCATGCATACATCCATGGTTAAATTAACGTAAGGTAGTAATTTATTTCTTATATAACAATATGGCCAGCTCCATGAGCAGGCAAGATGAACCAAATCCTACACTGTCATTGGCTACCTGAGCAGGCAAGATGGTGCTATCTTGCCCGCTTAGGATTACCCACTGTGTCCTGCAAGAAAACATTTCCCCAAAAGCCAAATGATAAATTATATATTGACCAAGCTTGTTTGATCAAGATGGCTTGATATTAACCTCGTTCTTTTCTTGTGAGTTTATTCACCTACACTCCATCTTGGCCAATACTATTCAGCCATCTTGACTTCATGCTTGGTCAATAACCCAGGCATATACTGTACTGTATGTCTGGATAATGCACATCTATGCACGGGGGCTGAATTGACTCTGGAATAAAAACAGGCCTGTGGTTCAGGCCATGGTGGGCCGTTGTTGTTGGCAAGTGCCACCTAGGAGTACAAACTGGATGTTGGTGAATTGTTGTGAGCCACAGTCTGACTAGCTAGATACTGGAAGAATGTGTGTCATTGAATGTGTCTATGCCATAACCAAGAAAAGCCTCTTGACTGATAAATTGAAAGATTCCACACATACGGTTGTTCCCTTTACTGATAATTTTGTAACATTAAAACATTAATTGTAAGTCACTTGTGTATGCAGGAGGAATTCTTCTAACTGCAAGTCACAACCCTGGAGGACCAGATGGAGATTTTGGAATAAAGTACAATATTGAGAATGGAGGTACATCTGTCAATAATTTTGTCAGTTACTGGTAAAACATATTGCTTGATGTGGGGATTATAAAATGGGGATTGTAAAAATAACGTTGAATTTTACTCAATACAAAACTGTTGTATTTAGATTAAATTTAATGTGAAATTTGCAAGTCAGCAAAATTATTGCCTTTGAAACATGCATACAGCACTTGAAAATT